GCAGAATATAAGCAGGGGCAAACAGGAAATCGCTCTCCTCTGTAGAGACACTTAGGAGGGAAGGTGTGGTGGTGGTTTATTCCTTCTCTCTGATCTCTCAGCATTTCCCTCTACATCTGACTACGGCCTTTTATTATCTAGATCAATTCAGGACTCCATTTACAGATGACAAACAACAATTTCACATTTTACTCTTTATTTGTGTGACTCCTGTCTGCTCCAGTACTAATACATCCCATCCTATTTTATCATTACAGTGATCTCAATAGACAACCGCCATGGGGGTCTTGGAGTCTTGTGCCTGTTCTTGGGCCTCTTTCCTTTTTGTTGGGTTGCCTTTGTCCAGCCTCCATGTGATAACTTGTCTTATATATTATTTTATCATGTTTGGTTGTTATCTCTCAGAAGCCTGTTTTCTAAATAGAGACAAAAAGGGAATGGATCCAGAGAGGAGGGGAGGGGTATGGGCAAACTGAGAGGAGTAGAGGGAGGGGGAACTGTAATCAAGATAGAATGCATGAAAAAGCAATCGATTTTCAATAAAAGGGAAAAATGGAAAAAAAATAAAAGGAGAGGAGAAACAAAGGAAAGGAGATAAAGACCTTTGTCGTGTGGGCTGAGCACAGGGAAAGGATCAAAGATGGGAGACTCATAATATTCGAAGAAAGGATCAGGTTAGAGAAGAATGAAGTTTATACAAAGGGCACGGGGAGGCAATTTGAATGGGGCTTTGTGATGAAGGGTGCACAGTGTGGAATCACTGATGAATAATTCAGGAAACAAGCTAGGGAATAGTGGCACACGCCTTCAATCCCAGCACTCGAGAGGCAGAGGCAGGTGAATTTGGATGAGTTTGAGGCCAGCCTGGTCTACATAGTGAGTTCCAGGACAGCCAGGATCTACATAGTGAGGCCCTGTCTTGAAAAAAAAAAAACAAAAAAAAACAAAACAAAAAAAAAAACAAGGGGGCGGGGAATCAGAAAACATGTAAGTAGAAGTATTTTTTCTAGTATGATGACTGATGGGGAATGTTCTTCTGTGTGTTTGTCTTATTGGTTGATGAATAAAACACAGTTGGCCAATAGGGAAGCAAGATGGGTGGGACTAGGAGACAAGGAGGATTCTGGGAAGTGTAGTAAGAGAAGCTGCCATGTGATCCCAGGAGGCATTCTCGGTAAGATAAGACCATGTAGAAATAAATACATGTATTAGTAGTGTTAGACCCCCGAAAACTCAAGTATCCGGGGTCCCAGGCCACATTCGCGGTCACCCCAATCACCAGGCGGATTCGAGAGCTTGCTGCAAACT